ATCAGCAATTTACCAAAGCCGAAAATATGCATTGCTGTTAAAATTTAAGACCCATTGATGTCCCAATGCCGCAGAAATATATCCGAAAATGTTAGATTATTGTTCTCAAAGCCGCAAAATGTTGTAACCCAGGACAGATCATGCGGACCAATGCCATATATATTTGTTCACATGGATACGTTATATTGTAGCGCAGGTGGCTACGCTGTTAGATACATAAGTCGAAGGTGAAGCTGCAGGTCCGTCGAATGATTTCACGTGTTAAAAAAATCAGTTTTAAAAATCCTTTCGGACATAATAGTCGTAATCGTGCGCGTAATATGAGTAAAGCGTAGTGTTGCCCAAAACCGGTCTTGGTCTTTCAGTCTTGGTTTTGTTCTTGCATTTTCGCAGGACCGCCTAATTTTAGCAAGACCAAGACCAATACTGACCGTGCAAGATTTAAGCAAGAACAAGACTAATCCTGCGAGACTCTTGCGTCTTGCAGTTAGGAGTGAGTATCGTTTTAGGGGGCATAGTAGTTCGGTTATCGACTTTATAAGATGCAAAAAAATATGTAACAATAATTTGGGAAACTGGGCTTTTGCGCATTACGAATAATACCCCAAACATGCATACCGAATAAAAATATTTATTAAGAGAATACTTGACACATTTGACACATACTCAGAGGTCATAATAACAAAATATAAAATACAAAATATTTTGTACATTCTTTCCCAGCAGACGACTTCTTCGCTCTAAAATTAATTGTCTAGATTTTGAAAATAGCCGCTCTCTACTCATAAAATATTCTTAAATTGCGAGGCCGACAGTAATATCGTATCGAAACCTCTTAAAAATATGTCATATTAGCTGATAAAATATAATACTTACTGTTAAGAACGCTCACCTAATAAGTTAATTTTTTCCTAATATAATTTAGTTAGGAGGAATCTAAATAAATAAATCTTATCGGCCTAAGACAAAACATTGTTTCTGCTGAGTGTGTGATGAGATCATTCTTTTAAACAAAATATGCTGAAATTGCGCGGCTAATATTCAACAGTAACGATACAAATAATTAATAACAGATAATTTCGGCTACCATGTAAACAAAATACCAAAATATTTAAAGTAACGAAATAACGATATATTATTCTGGGTTTGTTATTCGGTATTCGGTATTTATTAAATTGAATAGTAACGAACATAAAGTAACTAGTAGTTACTTTTTCGACATCATTAAACTTTATTCCCAATTGACCTTTTTTCGAGTCTAATGTAATAATTATTTTTCCTATATTCCTTGTTGTTCCCGGAGTGACAAATTTACAATTTGACATGAGGGAAGAAGATTCAAATAGTTCCAGTCGAAGTAAAAAGAGTTAGAGTTATAGACCTAAAATCAAATTTATTGAGTTTTTTGAAGTAATTCATGCATCACAAATTGCTTTGTGTAAATTGTGCCAACATAGAAACATTAAAATACAAATGAAAAACAGAAATACCTCAGAATTAAGGAAGCATCTAATATCTTTCGACACAAATAAATCACAAATATTTCTTCCTTAAAAAACAAGTTGTAATCAACATTTATTTATCTTTAATAAGTAGATTATAGTTTGTTATCTTATCATCTAAATAATGTGTGCCATTGATACATGTATATGGATTCTTTGCCACATACGAGTCTTTTTTAAGATTTCCATTTCATATATGGTGGAGGTCCATCAATCCCCTTCTATACAGATAATGTTCTTTAAAATACAGTCAAGTGTATGTCATTAATTTGTTTTTTTTTTGTATTGTAAACATGTTTTAGCACATGTAAGCTTAATAATGCAAATGGTTATTAAGAAACAGATTTACTCTCTAGGGGCATGGTAGATAGCTGAGTTAGTTAAAGTATAGTCACGGATTGCTTAGATCGTGGGTCCAAACCCCACCCGATGTCAGTTCTTTGGATATTAATTTGGTTGGACTTTATTATAGGTATCTTAATTCAAGCTTAAAATGTACCTACTCTGTTACGTTGTTCTAAAATCTAAAGTACCTAACGTTTAATAAATAGCAATAGGCTAATGGGTAACTGTGAGACATGCAAGACTCTTGCTATAACACCAAGACCAAGACCAAGACCAAAAGTGCAATAACAAGACCAAGACCAGGTGTATTGGCACAAGACCAAGACCAAGACTGTCTAAGTCTCGTCTTGTTCTTGCATTTGGGCAACACTAAAATGAGTATGGAAACTTTTGTGGGCTATCAAAACAGGAATATAACGATATTTTCGGGTTGTTAGACTCCAATGAAGAGCCATATGTCTCTAGTGGCAGTAAATAATCCCGTTTCAGATGAAGATAACGAGATTAATGAAGTTATATTTGATGAGGTCAAAAATAGCAATAATGAGAAAGAGAGAAAAAAAATCCCATTGATGGTGAAAACAGAAACTTGTATAGTCACCTGAAGTGATTCATGATAATTTGGCCCTAAAACAAAATTTTGTTCTGAAATTAAACAAAACTGTTTATTCCCGCAGTGCATGATTTTGATAACAGAGAGACCAACGCATACTTGGACCCCATGAAGATAAGTCAAATGGTTTAAGTTATTTTCTCTTACTTATGGACACAGAGATAGTTGAAGTTATTGTTTCTGAAACTAACAAATATGCTTTCGAGGTTTATGCGAATCAAAAAATAAATGAAACGAAACTTATATCAACGAATATTACGTATTTTTGGGTGTTATAATCCTAGCCTCACGACATGCAAAAAATAAAGTGAGAGAAAACTGGTCAACTGATAAGTTGCTTCATACATAAATATTTTCCCAAAATAATGTCAAAAAATCGGTTTTAAGCAATTCTTGGCCTGCTACACTTTTCAGATAATGCTGAGCAAACAGAAGGTGATTATCTTTACAAACTGCGAATAGTATTTAATAAAATTACAACAGGGTGCTAAAAGTACTTTACTCCATTTCAAATTCTTTCTGTTGACGAGAGCTTAGTGTTTTTCAAGGGGCGATTAAGATTTAAACAGTACATAAAGGCTAAACACCATCGGTTTGGAATAAAACTTTTTCTAATATGTGACTGCGAGACAGAATATGTATTAGGTGTTATTGTCTATACTGGAAAATTAACAGATATTACCCTGTTCCAAGATATTGAAATATCAGGCTTAATAGTAGCAAATCTTATGAAACCATATTTAAATAAAGGCCATAACCTTTATACAGACAACTGTTACAGTAGCAATGATTTGTGTACATATCTGCATAAACACAAGACTAATTCCTGCGTTTCGTAAATAGAAGGATAGGCGTGAGGTTATAATACCGATTACTTTTCATAAAGATCGCATGGTACCGTTAGAGGAAGTAGATTTCAAGGCAAAAGAGCCCATACAAAAACCAGCTGCTATTGTAGATTACAAACAAAATGACTGTTCAGATATATGATGTTGAACTCCATGGGATGTGTAAGAAAGACCACAAAATGGTATAAAAAAATATTTTTTTTACATGGTTCATCTGTTTTTTCCTAAAACACAAGCACTCTATTTGACCCAATCTTCAGAACGTCTACCTGTGGCAGATTATCAAGTACCATAGGGGCACTTTTTGATGGGAAAATTTGTAATAATTGTTTTTTTAGGGTGCAGTTATTTTTCATCCTGTTTTAGACATAAACATGAAAAAAACAGAAGCATAAACCCTTTTCAAGAATCATCAAAGGCTCAAAGGGCTAAAAAAAAACTCATTGTGCCCAAGACTGAGGTGTAGTGCATAAAAGTCCTTCCCCTTTTTAAATTTAATGTTTGTTTCGTCCCTTCTAAGTGTTTTCTGTTTTAATGTGTTTTAAATTGTCCTTAATTGTTTTAGTTCTAATATTTAATTTACTTGACTTTGCAATAATTTACTATTTTGCCAATAAAACTTTATCAAAAAAATTTGATAACTACAAGTTGAAAAATAATTGCACACCCACACAATTTGTACATCTAAACTTATTCATTGTCATAAAACTGTCACCTGTATAAAACAATTACTCAATAAATAACACACATTTCATAAATATATCTCTCGAATAAGTATAAATAAGTTTTAATAATACAATGGTATATTACATCACTTTCATTTAACAAACAATCACACACATATTTTTGCTTCATTGGATCAAATCTATCTCCTCAAGAACTTTCCGTTTACTGTAAAACAACTACAATAGCAGAATTGAGTTCTCCATTCAACAATACATAGTAGTTTCAACCATGTTCTACCATCCATCAATTAATAGAGTACCGGCATCATTTATTTAACTTTGTATCGAGACTTGAAGATGCTTTACATATTGTAGAATGCGAAACCGGTCGTCTGATAGTTAAATTAAATTGATTGTGAGTAAGTCTTATTTATTATTTCTTTACCTATTTAAAATGGATCCACACAAGCAACACATTCATGATTTTAAAAATATACTTTCAGGTTAAATTATAGATCGTTCTCGGACTAATAAGTTCATCATTAGTGCAGTTACCAGTAATACATGAGTGAAGCCACTAACGATGTCAGTAAAAACTCTTAAAATGTTGTTAACTTTGTTAAATATTACATACTTATCGATAAATTTAAATGATGTTGGTTGACACAGATTTTGTTCATTACATCCAGGGGTTGCTAATCTTAGACAAGGTGTTTCTATGGGTCCTCGATAGGAACTGATGTATGCCATATTTTGTCTTGGGTTAGCAACCTCTGGGAGTCTTGAATTGCTATGCAATAAGTCTAATGTAACGGGTATCTGACACCTTGAGACATTTCACATGGTATGGTTGTATTTTATCATTTAAGAAATAAAGGATTATGCAGTATCTGTAGCTGGGTATCGCCTTCATTCTTGTACAGCTCAAAACACGTTTAATCAGTACCTAATAATTGGTCTGATGGGGTAACTTACTGTATTTATTTAGAACAGAGTACACATTAATACAGTAATTCTGTGTACTTACCTATATAGAGGCATTCCCAAATTATCTTTAAACCAAAAAAGCATTGTCACATTATCATTGGGAAGAGCTGGAGTTATATCACAAGGTAATTCCACGTCTTTTCCAGGTACGCCCCAAACAAGACGAGCTGGTACTGAAACAAAAGAAAATTTATGTTATTTTGGTAAATTCTTCTTTAAAATCCTATTTAAAGATTCGTTCATCCCATTCATCTACTTAGTACCTTTTTTTGATATATATTGTTTTGATATATAGTGTTTATGTAAATACATATTTTAAAAAAAATTAATTTCATTAGGTCTCAACGACTTCTCAGGACGATTGAAGTAGAAAAATTTAGCCTTAAATACAACAAAAAAAGTGCAATTAACTTTTAAATTAAGTCAAAAGTGAAAGAGATAATAAAATGTCACTAATAACGAACCTAAAAGCCGTAAAGTTATATATATAATATATATATATATATATATATATATATATATATATATATATATATATATATATATATTGTTATGTTTCTTCTTTCCCAACCAAAGAAAAATAAATAAAAAGATCCATCGAAATAAAATTTTAAGATATCAGTATAAACAAATTGTATATAGTAATTTAAGATAAGATTCAGTGTAGATAAGCATAAAAATTTGTTTTTTTTTCCGTTTCCAACAAAATTATCAAAAAACCTTTGTTTAGAATTAGAAGACATTTTACCTGTTAGTTAATATTTTCATTGTTTGTATAATCGGGTGTTAAATGACCATATTCTAATCTTTTGAAATATGTATAACTTGTGTATTGACAAAACCAATTTTAAAGTAAGCTATTTAGTTTTTCTCTGAAACCGAAATAAGGCTTTTCCAAAATCATGGTAAACACAATTTGAGCTTTTAATTGGACGGTCGTTTTAGAATGGGATTTTGTGAGCCGATCGGGAGAACCGGAGAAACTAGTGATAATTTGGTCATCGAAGGAAACAGTCGTTTGTCTCAAGACAGGGTATGGTTTGTGAGTTGGATACCGGCATTGTTAAAAGAATTGAATAGTTTTGCGAAAGGAGATAGCAAGTAGATTAAAAGAGGTCCTTGTATCTACCGAGGGCATTTTGTGAAGATTTGTGAAAGTAGTTTTATGGCATCAAGTTGACAAAAGGAGGTCCTTGTGTCATTAATAAGTAATTGAGTTCTTGAAGAAGTGAATCAGGTGTTTTTGGTTAGTGCAGAGGAGGTTTGCAGAGACGTTAGAAAGGAGCATAGGTGCCAAAAAGGAGAGATCACATCATTGAGGAGACTGGACTTTTCGGGTTATGTTCCAACATACACCTCAATAAGAAAATAAGCTGTAAAAGTTTTGTACAATTGAATTGTATATCTGTGAAGGATCTGTTTGACATCATGGTCATTAGCATTCAAATTTAAGAACTGAGGTTTTGTTAGGCTAATCAAAAGTTTAAAGTTTTGTTGTATCTTGTTTCAAGTAAAGAAAAATTTAAGTAAAATTGGTTTTCACTTAATATAAATGTATGTAGATTTAAAATCTTATTACTATAAAAATTTAATTTATTTTCTTGTATGCTGATTGATAAGATAACGGCAGAATTTGATAATTGTTTTATTCGTTCATATAAAATAAAGAAACGTAATTTTTTTTGTAATATAATATATTTTTTTATTGGCTCAATAAACTAAGATTAAAGTCAAAATAAAACAATAATAATAATATATATATATATATATATATATATATATATATATATATATATATATATATATATATATATATATATATATATATATATATATATATATATATATATATATATATATATATATTATATATATATATATATATATATATATATATATATATATATATATATATATATATATATATATATATATTGTGAAACAAAATGGATACAGCTCAAACACCATCTACAAAGCAATAAAGAAACAACGGAAGACCACACAAAACACACAAGAAGACAACAAAAATCAACCAAGAGCTATTCTACCATACGTGAAAGGAACCACCGACAAGATAGGGCGCATTCTCCGAAAAAAGAACATATCGACAATCTACAAACCGAAGCAAACAGTTCGATCGATCTTAAGAAACCCCAAAGATGCAACCAAACTGGAAAATCAGGGTGTTTACAAAATTGCATGTGGAACCTGTCACCAAACCTACATCGGACAAACCAACAGGAGAATTTCCGCAAGATTAGAGGAACACAAACTAGCAATTCGCAACAGACAGCTAACATCTGCTCTATTTCAACACGAGCATAACACAGGCCATAAAATAAACTTCGAAAGTTGCAAACAAATAGCCAACATTGAACACTTCAAAACAAGAACCATCAGAGAATCTATAGAAATTGAAAAAGAAGGTCTTCTTAACAAACGTGACGACTCCTTAAATCTGCCCCAAGCTTGGAAGTCCATAATCTCGAGACGCCAACATCAAACTGACTGCCTGAGCTTCGCTCCCCAGGGGGCGGGGCCTAGCGGCGTAACGAATACGGCCAATCAGCGACGATCCGCTCGAACAGCGCACGATATAAAAGAAGTGAGGACTGAGCGCAGCTCATTCAGTTACCGACTACGAGACCGAAGACAACGCACAGAAGATGCCAAGTGAGACCTTGGCGAAACGTCTGCAATTAAAAAATGACCAACGGATATTTTCCCGGAATAATTGTTCAACATATTACTCCATCCGTGAAACACTTCAAACTAACATATATATATATATATATATATATATATATATATATATATATATATATATATATATATATATCAGCGGGCAAAATGTACTTCATAACCGAATACCTTTACAGTTTACAACCTAAAAACTCCTGATATTGTGTGTTACTGATTTTCAGAAGAGACGAATAACCTGCTCACATAATACACAGATCACAAAATAACCACATTTGTATTATACATTATTTAGAGAAGTTTGTTACGAATTCCAAAACCCCAATATTTATTCTGATGGATGTGTTTATTAATATTGTAATAATGTCCTGGCTAACGCTTAAGTAAACTTTACTGTCAAGCATAATATTTATGTTGGTGTTAAAAATGCATAAATATCTGGAACCGTGTCACTCTCAAATGCAGTGAAATTTGGTGTATAATGTGATAGAAAAAAATCTTAAAAATAAGTAAATCTATCTACCCAGTTTCTACGTTACCAGTGAAGTTCGAATAAAAAAGGAACTAAGCCATGTTAATAAAAATGTTAGACCACGCGATTTTTAAAGACTACTCAGCCTTAGACCAAGGGAAATATTCTTTAATTCGAATAGGGACAAAAGCGTATGACCCAACCATTACTGATATAAAATACATCAAATATAATCCAGATGATACTAAAGAAATAAAAATTGACCATAAAGGGGACTACTTACAAGTTCGTGTCTGATCAAAGGCTATTCCAACAATTTTGCCCTCCTTAAATACAAACGTAGAAATGACAATATTTAAAAATTGTAACATCGATCCTTCAAAATACTTCATAAAAAAAATGTCCGCCTCCAAGACTAACGAATAAAACAACAGACTGGAAGATTTTCGAAGAATTCTTACAAGCAAACATACACCTAAAATTGCCACTAACATATAAGAAATAGACATAGCAAAAGAAACATTAATAAAACAAATACACAAAGCTGTATGAAAATCTACAAAAAAAGACTTTGAACGAAAATGGTTCTAGAAGTATTGTCTAATAATGATACGAACAAAAATATTAGAAAAATTAAAACTTTATAAAAAATAGTATCAAACTCGTTCACCTCAAAACAAAACTAAACTGAACAGAATGTATTTAAAAATAAAATAATTTCTAAAACAACAAAGTAACGCCAATCATCAACATTACCTATAAAATCTGACACTTAACTCAAATAGTGCTTACTTATTATAGAGGACCACAATAAACTAATGCAGACTGTAAAACAAATTCCACCTACCAGAACAGAAGATTTAAAATGGTTAAAGACAGGTCAGAAAAAGCAGACGCGTTCTCAAAACAATTTACAAAGGTATTTTAGTCTCTAACAAACAGAGCAAATGACGACATCTTTAAATATTTAGACAGTCCTAATTACATTATGGTACTTGGGACATGTGATGAGAGGGCAAAAATACGCATTATTACAACTTATTATGCAGGGCAAAATCCGAGGAAAGCGAAATGTGGGAAGACGAAGAATATCCTGGCTTAAGAACTTGAGGGAATGGTTTGAATGCAGTAGTGCAGAACTTTTTAGAGCGGCAGTCAACAGAGTCCGCATAGCCATGATGATTTCCAACCTTCGATAGAAGATGGAACTTAAAGAAGAAGAATTACATTATCCATTTACCCAAATGGGCAACTCTTAACGAAGTAAAAAGTCTATTCCATGTCTATTCTGTATCTAATTTACACAGAAAAATAATGGTAAGTCCAACACAAATCATAAACTAGATACTAAGAACAGGCTACTTTCCTGTACTGAGCAGAAATCATTACGATCACAAAAACCAAGAAAACCTTCATACGAGATAACATCCTACTGACTCAGTAGTCTATTACCAGTTATGTCCAACGTCACGGAGAAAGTCATTGCAAGTAGATTGAATATGCAAATACAAAAGAACATTATTATTTTTGATCATTAGTTTGGTTTTTTCCAAAAACACAGCCCAACTGAATAAGTATATTGGGTAGCAGAAAAGATACAATCAGCCTTCCAGGAAAAGAGCTGCTGTAATTAAATTTTCCTGGATGTTAGTCAAGCATTTGACAAGGTCTCCTATCCAGAATTACTATTCAAACTTAAGGAAACCACTATTCGCGATACTAAAATGATACCAACGTGTGTCTAACATCCAAAACATAAATGCAGGGACCTGCAAGACAGTGTTTTTGAACCAATTGTCTACACAATCTTTACAGCTGATTTTCCAACCGAAAAATGTTGCAATTGTGTTGCAATCCACAATTGCAACATTCGCTCGATGAAACTACAATTCTGGTCAGAAACGAAGATCCCATATAAGAAGCTTAAATAATACAGCAAACCATACGTTTAATTGAAATATGGACAAAGAATTAAAAGATAATCAACGAAGCATAGCAATTTACGTAACATTTACTAAATGTCACAATGAAACACCAAATATCCTAATGCATAATAAGAACATTTTCAAAAATGATACTGTAAAATATCTTGGATTACACCTTAACAAAAGGTTAACATGGAGAACACATATCTGGATGAAGAGAAAGCAATTTGGAATGAAATTCATAAAACACTACTAGTTCTTCTTCTTCATCTGCCATCTCCTCTAAGAAGGTTGGCAACCATCATGACAATTCGCACTTTCGATACAGCTGCTCTAAAGAGGTCAGCAGAAGTGCAGTTAAACCAAGCTTTCAAATTGTTTAACCAGGAGATGCGTCTTCTTCTGCGACTCCTTGTACTCTGTGTTCTTTCTTGCATTATTAATTGCAACAAGTTATAACGCTCGCTCCTTATGACATGTCCCAGATATTGCAGCTTTCTGAATTTAATTGTATTTAAAACCTCTTTATCTTTTACCATTGTTCTCAACACCTCGACTTTCTTGACACTATCCACCGACTTATTCTTAATATTCTTCTGTAGGCAAATAACTTGAAGGCTTCTAATCTGTCAGAAACATTGTTCTTTCGTGTCCAAGCCTCCAACCCATAAAATAATACGGAGGACACCTAGCATCCTAGAAGTCTAATCTTTAAAGAAATTGAAATGTCCCTGCTGCAGAGTACTTTTTTCAGTTTGTTTAAAGAATTTCTTGCCTGTCCTATTTTTGCCTTAATCTCTTCTGTGTACTCATTATTTTCATTAATTATTGTAGCTAGATATTTATATTTTTTAACATTTTTAACTTGTTCTCCATGTATTGTTATGTTTTCTTGGCGCTGTTCTTCTACCACTTCTACCACTTCTACCACTCTGCCACATCCTCAAGACATTCCGCTAATAAAATGCGCAGTGTCGTCAGCAAACCGGCAAAACTTATTGATTGGTCGGCCATTTACTTTTATTCCCATAGATAGTTCTTCTAGTGCTTTTGTGATTATTTCCTATAAATACAAATTGAACAGATTAGGAGATAGGACACAGCCCTGCCTAACGCCCCTCTAAATCTGTATTTCATTTCAAAAGACGTTGTTCTATTTTAGCACCGGGATTGATTATAATAGGTAGTGCTAATGATCCTGATGTCTCCAATATTGAAATTTTTCTTTTCAAGGAATTCGATAAGACGGTTATGTCTGACTTATCTTCTAAGACTTTGTTGTAATCCAAGAAATACATACATACTGGCTACTTAACATCCATGCACCTTTACACAAGTAAATTCACAGCGAACAGGGCTTCGCTGTGAATCCTTCGCACAAATCCAAATTGTGTGTTACTTGTCCTGCTCAATTTTGTTGTGTATTCTCTGGTGTATAATTTTAAAAAATGTTTTGAGCGTATGAGGAATTAAACTTATTATTCGGTGGTCTTGGCATTTTTTTGCATTTGTTTTTTTTATAGTGTTATAAATGTTGACATCAGCTAATCTCTGGGAATGATTCCTGTACTGTATATTGTATTATATAAGTCGACCAATCTTCCAATTTTCTTTTGTTCTATTAACCGTATTACAGGTATTTCGTCAGGACACGTTGCCTTGTTATTCTTTGTTCGCTTTATCGTCTCTACTACCTTATCTTCTGTTATGTCTGGGCCGTTGTCGAACTTCTTCCACTCTAGTACTATCTCAGTCCGTTCGTCTTTAAATAGCTTTTGAATATATGTCTGCCATATTTTAAGCCTTTCACCGACGTCTATAATTATTTTGCCGTTTTTATCCAGCAGTATGTTTAATTTTTTCTTAATATTAGTGCCTGTTATTTCCCTAATGTTTTTTATGAAGGTTTAAGTTATCATGTGTCTCTACCAACTGTTCAATCCCTTCGCATACGTCACTATACCATCTTTTTTTTTGCATCTCTGACCTTTCTCCTTATTTCTGTGTGTATAATATTATACATGTTTTATCTTTGGTTTTATAAGATCTCCTTGCTTCCATGAGATCTAGAATCTTATTGGTCCTCCATTCATTTTTGTTCTTGATCAGCTTAGGTGTTAGTGTTGTCTCACATGTGCATAAAAGAGCATCTTTTATAATATGCCATTTCCTGTTCGTATCTTTAGTAGGAATAATTTTTATTTTGGTGAGCTCTTCTGTAATTTGTAAGTGTGACTTGCTCTTTTGTTAATGGATCTCTGAAATAGGATACTTGTATCCTCTCTACTTTAGTTTTAGCCACAAGCTTTTTTAGAATAATTCTAAGCCTTCCTACAACTGGGTTGTGATCTGATCTCACATCAGCTCCGTGGTATTATTTTACTGATCGTATGCAGTTTTTGTATCGTTTGCAGATGAGAAGATAGTCAATTGGGTTTCTGATGACGTTATATTGGTTGTCTGCTGGAGATTTCCATTTATAGAGTCTCCCGGGCGGCAAATGATAATAAGTATTCGCGACAATAAAATCGGTCTCTTGGCCAAATTGAGTCAATCTGTCTCTTATCTCGTTACGGGTGCCCAGTCCAAAGTTTGTAATAAAATCGCCTTGACATTCTCTACCGATTTTTGCATTTAGATCTCCCATGACTATTGTGACTATTAGTGACTAAATTAAAAATAAAGTTCAAAATGCTAAAAAAGACTGTCAAAAGAAAAACCGACATCAATTTACTTAAACAAGCAAATATACAAAGTATGGTAAAGACTAAACTCAACGAGGAATGTGAAAGACTCCAAAGAGAGTTATCACCAACTACAGAAGGCTTATGGACTGAAGTCAACAATGCTTTTACTAGCGCCGAGAAATATATAAAAGACACTAATAACAAAAGAAAATCTAAATCCTGGATGACACAAAAAATTCTGGGAATGATGGATACTCGAAGAGCCTACATAAATAAAAATAATGAAAAATATAGGGAGATACACCGTCAAATCAAGAAAGAAATAGCTACCGCAAAAGAAAATTGGATGATAGAAAACTGCCAAGAGATCGAAGAATTAATAAAGAAATACGACAGTCAAACGCTTCACAAAAAAATAAAAGATCTAGCTGGAATGACAAAACAAAGACTCCCTTGTAGATTAACAAACGACGAGAATAAAACGATATGGGAATTAAGCGATCTAAACAACGTATGGGGACATTACATAGAAGAACTATTCTCGGACACACCACTAAACAACATAATATATAAAAACCATGAAACCAGTCCTCCTATATTAAAACAAGAAGTAGAGAGAGCAATCAAAAACGCAAAAAATGGGAAAGCCCCTGGCCCCGATGACATACATACGGAAGTCATAAAGCTACTGGAAGAGAAACATTTAAATATAATCGTCAAATTATTTAATCAAATATATACAAGCGGTGAAATTCCACA